TTGGTGGGCCCAGGCTGGATTTGAACCCACCACCTTAGGTGTATGTGGCTGGCGCCTTAGCCACTTGAGCCACAGGTGCTGAGCCATAAATAAATCTTAAAGCAGGGAGATGAGCAATTGACACAGAAAATAACGTTAGTATAATTGGTAGGAATAAAATGATGACTTTCAAAAAGAAGATGAAATTTTAAATTATGAGATGGGAGGAGGTAATCTTATAGATGGGGTGGACTGGAAAGGCCTCTGAGGTGCCAGGTGCAGTGGGAAAGGAGTGGGGTGAGCTTGGAGAAGTGATGAAGGCAGGGACTGCTCTGGAGGTGAGATCAGAGAAGATAGGGGCCGACTCACAGAGAAACTTGGGGCTGTTGGGGTCTTGGTTTTCCTCTGTACGCACAGATCTCCGTCACCCAGAACTGGGCCAACCGGAGTGGGGAGTCCTGAAAGCCGTGGGGCTTCCAGATACAGGTCAGCTCCTCCATGGACTCTGTGCTTCAAGCAAGTCCCTTATCTCCAGGCCTCAGTTTTCCTGCTGAAAACCCATTAATATTACTTTCCTGAGGAGCTTTTAGCTTTCACTATGCCACTACATGGATGCCTTAAAAGGGGGGACACCATTGCTCTACATCTTTTCCTTTCTACCTGGGTCAGGTGTGAGGTGGGAAGCCTGTACCTCTGGGTCAGTAGACTACCCTTAACAAAGCTTTGATTCCTTAGAAACAGGCATCTTGCAGAACTGTTGGGAAACCTTTGCCAGGAGAACTCAGGGTCACCTCCTTTTCCCAAGTGAGGCACCTAGACAGTGGGGGAAGGCAGCCCCAGGGGAGCAGGTGTGGGTGAGCACTGCTGTCCCTCTCTTCCTTCCTACCAGTTTTGTCCTATTATTGCCTTATTACTGTTTTCAGTCAGACATAATTCCAGCATTTTCTATAATCTTGATCTTTTCATTGATACCAGATTTTTACACAAAGATTTGTATATAAAATGATTATGTACCCACCAGAATACATTCCCCGGCAATTAGAACATTTAAGATGCAGCTCCTAACACTCCTTCCCGCACATCCCTCATTTATTACTTTCGAAAGTGTTTTGTGATTTTTTGGGGATGTGTTTACAAATCCAATAACAATTCTCATTTAGAGTTGCAAAACACGAAGCCATTTTGAACTGAGACAGATGGCAGCTAAATGAAGTTTAATTAAAGAATGAGTGCTTTGAATCAAATCACTTTTTCAAAAGTACAGTACACTGAGATTCTGGAGAGGCTGCATAAACAGCATCTGGGACTTCTGCGAGGAAATACTGAGTCAAGACTCTCCAGCTCCATCAGGAGCCGGGGGTGCCCTGTGGGTGAGTCCTGTGTCCTCTGCCCTGTGCCCTCCACCCAGGCATACCTCCCAAAGCCCAGGGCTTCCTGGACAGGGGGGCAGGAAGACATAAGGCAAGCTCTTAGTTCAAAGGCTTTAGCTTAGTGAGGGGGTCCCCTCCTCTGCATTTATAGAATGAGGGCTCACAAAGGCACCAGGAGGGCTTGCTGCACTGACAGTCTATGGCCTCCCAATTGTGCCCTGAGAGTGGGAAGGGACAGTGGGAGGGGCCTGGTGGGGTCAGGAAGGAGCCATTTTCTGCTCTGGCTGTGGATCAGAGTGGCTGGGGCAGCAGCAGGGGGTATGTGGGAGTGTAGATGTGGGTGCCAGTGGGTATCGGGGACTGGGGACAGGACAGGCTGAGGGGCCCTCACTGTAGGGAGGGGAGAGTAGAGGAGGGTTTTAATCCAGAGTCACAGGATCTGATGGGAGATGGACTACAGGAGATAGGGCTCAAGGCTGGGTGGTTGGATTTCCCACACTTTCTGCACAGAGGGCAGTCAGTAGAGGGGCCACTCCTGCTGGGTTCCTGGAGGAAGAGAAGGGCCTGGTGGCTCTGGGGACTGGGATGTAGGCGGGAGGAGGGTCTTGCTGTGTGCCAGGCTTGCAGTTTCTAGCTTCTATGTGGGAGGAAGTGAAGCCCCAAAGGCTGAGACAGGCCTTTCCTCCCAACTCCGGGCATGGTGCTGACTGGGAGGCTGACAGAGGCCCCTGGACTCTTTTAATCATGTACTCACTCAGAACTCGGTTCCTCCAAGACATAGGGCTCATTCTGGCTTTCAGCTGAGCCACCAGAACTAGATCCCAGGGTTATCATGACCCCTCTGCTAGCCAGCACTCCATGCAACCAGCTGACCGCTCCTTGTTCTCAGCACCAGGCCCAAAGCACTGCCATCTCTTGGTGGAACTAATGGGTCTCCCACGTGGCCTCCCGGGTCATTCCTCTTCCTTCTCTGATTCCTCTTTGCAGGGAGGGGCAACTGTCCAAAGATGTGGACACCCAGGGCCTGGCTCTCCCCTGGGTGTTCTATGTGTGACTCTCATTTTCCCTCTGGAAATCAGAGTGCACGGCTGGGTAGGGAGAACTCAGGCCCCTCACCTACCCTGGGAACACCCTGCTGACCGTCCTTAGAGGTTCTGATCTAGGCCCTCACCGAGTCCCCATTTGTCCCTCCATCTCATCTCCAGCCACTCTTCCTCTGGTCTGGAGACCCCTTCCAGATCGTCCGGGTTCTCCATCAAGCCCCCTCTGCCTTGTCCATGCTGCTCTCTCCTCCTAGAGCGCTGTCCCACCAATATGTGACTGCTCCTCAACTTTCAGCTTCAAGGACTCTTCCTGATTTCTGTACCAGGTGCAGGTCACCCTGCTTTCTGCTCCAGGGCACTTGCCTTCCCCATGAAGACATTTAGCCAGCTTGACCATCTTCCCCACTGAGAGGGCAGGGCTCAATAAATACATTAAATACATGTCAAGTGAACAGGCAGCCACTGTGTGCTGGGCCCAGGACAACTGCCAGTCTCACTCTGTCACCCTGGGTAGAGTGCATGGTGTCATAGCTCACAGCAGCCTCAAACTCTTGGGGTTGAACAATGCCTTAGCACCCTGAGTAGCTGAGATAACAGGTGCCCACCACTACACCTGGCTAGCTTTTCCATTTTTAGTAGAGATGGAGTCTCACTCTTGCTCAGGCTGGTCTAGAACTCCTGAGCTCAAGCAATCCACCCCCCATCGGTCTCCCAGCGTGCTAGGATTGCAGGCGTGAGCCACCATGCCCAGATGACAGGCAGGTTCTTGAAAATTATTTTACTGCCTCCACTCTTATACTTCCTTTAACATAGCTGGGACCCATCACTGCTCTGTCTAAATGCCCAGAGCTCTATCAAAAATCCTGTCCCTCTCTTGAAGGCCCCCTGAGCTCCCTCTCTGATGCTTTTCTTCTAGCCACGGGGATCCCCCTGAGCTGGGTCCCTCTGTGATCATCAGACTTAACACTCTGGACTGTAGAAATTGTCAAGATTGTCCCTTACCACACTCTGTGCTCCCTGAGGCCATTTCTGCCTGTCCCGGCCCTGCCCCTGCCCCAAGCAGAGAAGATGAGAGACTGTCCCTGCATACAGGTCCAGTCCACAGACTGTAGGAGGGGAGGTGGCTGCATGTGTCTTCTATTTAGCAGGTCTGTTGCTCTAACCACTGTCTGGCAGGAGGTTTTTCTGTCTGTGGCACTTTTGCCTTCTGTGGCTTTCCATCTTGAGGTCACATGCCCCCAGCAGCAAAGAAGAAAGTGAGGTCTGTCAGGGACACCACCTCTGCTGTGGCAAGGAAGGAGGGCCTTGGCAGGCCACTGGGGCGGGGTTTCCTGATGTCATCCCCAGTGACAGCTGCCGCCACAATCCCAACAGAAAACACACAACAGTTAAGAGCAAAGGCAACGCTTTTTTTTTTTTTTTTTTTACTTATTTAAAAAGGCCTTGGTGGCAGGAATATAGTGTAAAAATCATTGGAAAAACTAAAAGGCATCGATACATATCCGAATATACCCTTTGTACATAAATTACATTTCCTTTAGTCTTTCTGAGTGAGGTCCTGATTCAGTACTGAGGTCTAGTAATTAAGAGGTCTCGGAAGCTGCACGTTCAGGCTGGCATAGTCCACCATGTACATTGGCCATTGCTAGAGAGAGGGACAAATGTACCGGGTTAGGATTCCAGGTGATGCAGAAAGAACACCAGAACACTTAACTCTGCTTTCTGAAGGGCTTCCTCAGATGCTATTTATTTTGAGGCCACTGAGGACCAGAGAGGGGATGTGACCTGTCCAAGGTTCAGTAGTGGCCATGGAACCTGAGCTGAAGCCTTTTCACTGTCCCACCTGTGTTCCAGGGTCTGGTCATGTGGAACAGGCCTAGGGACCAGAGCGTGAAGACTGGCTCAGCGCAGCTGTTCACCCTGTGAACTCAGCCTCACACTCCCGAGAGCTGCCCTGTCTCTCTGGGGGCTGGAGGAGCTAGGGACCCTCTGTGGGCACTCAGACACCCACTTGGGGTTAAAGGCAAAGCCTGAAGTCTTGGGTTCTCCAGGATGGTGTTGAAGGGAGATACAGTCAGAGGATCAAGAAATCCAAAAGCACTTTCAAATGTGTTCAGATATTCTCCTCATTTGGACTCAGGATTTCAAAGCTAGTATTTTGAAATAAAAAATTTTCCAGTGTAGGCCCTTAATGAGGTTTCCTTTCAGGTGGGGAAGAACTATCCCCAGAACTATGGCAGACAGAGCTTTGGAAGTGAGTTCTCCATCCAACAGGGAACAGCCGGGGCCACAGTTGAGTCCACCCACCCTCAGACTCCTGCTGTCCTCATCTACACACTGTGGGTAGCACCGGCACCTTGCAGGGTTGTGGCGCAGCAGGGAGTCCTGCTGGGGATGTGGGCAAGTCCCGTCCCTCTCCTGGACCTCGACTGGCCCAGCTGCCTGGCGGGGATGTGAATTCCTGCCTGGGTGCCAGTGAGCACCTGATGAGAGGGACAGACTATCTCATGGGTAGCACAGACAGATGTGTCTGCACCTCCGAGGCTGGAAGGCCCCACTCAGAGTCCAGTACCTCCCTGTACCCCAAACCCACATCCTGGTGTAGATGGCCTTGCCCGAGTGAGGGGCGAGGGCCAAAGAGAAGAGTGGTCGAGTCCAGATTTGTGCAACTTTACCACGAGTGAAATCTGATTGGTGGATGCCAGAGACTCCGGCTTAGAGGACGAGGAAGAGGAAGACGAGGAGGAAGAGGAGACGGAATTTCCTTCAGAGACCCGTTTCCTCTTGCGCTTGGGAATGCTGCTGTCTTTGGCTGGTGGGAGAAAAGGCTGTTGATGCCAAGGCCACTTTGTGTGGGGCTCCCAACCTCCCTGGAGAAGGCCTGTGTCTTCAGGTTTCAAGTCCCCTTCTCAGCATTTGAGGCTCCTGGTCCCTGAGTGGCCAGGGCCCACCTGTCTAGCCTCCTTCCATAACTAGGCTTGAGGGTCCGCCCACCCTGGCCCCCTGCTCCTGCTCACCTGTCAGTCTTTACTAACACCATTCTCTGGGTCCTCTTCACAGCCTCCCCAGATCACCCAGCCTGTGGTTCTGGCCTCCCCAGACCTCCCAGAACCCATCTTGACCCAGCATCCCGTCAAAGTCTTAGACAGTGTGGACAAGTCCTTAAGTGGCCCTGAGCCTTCAAGTTCTTATGTGTGAAATGTGAGTAAGATCTTGTAGGATTGGGCAGCACCTGTGGCTCAAAGGGGTAGGGTGCTGGCCCCATATGCCAGAGGTGGTGGGTTCAAACCCAGCCCCGGTCAAAAACTGCAAAAAAAAAAAGATCTTGTAGGATTGCTGGGAGAATCCCACGAGATACTGTGCAAAGCATTTAGCATAGTTCCTGGCACCCAGCAAATACTCAGAAACTGAGAATTGGTATTAATAATGCTGTTGTG